TTGTACTCACTAGGACAGGCTTTGTATGCTGCTAGAGCTCCTCTTATCCTCGATGGCTGGCATCAACTTCTCCAAATGGGCTTCGAACCAGTCTGCCATATTGTTGGTCTTCTTGCCAAATGTGGACAAAGCGGTGTTATAAACACTGTTTCCATTGTTCAGGTGCATTTGCATCAGCCGGGCCTGGAAGGGTTTCCTCAAGTGCTTGGGCAAATTCCTCCACTTTTCTTTGGTCGCAAGTCTTGCTGATGTCAATATGTGGTCTTCCTTCCTTTTTCATGTGATACAATCTCTTTGCTCACAATTTTACTCTACTACACACCAGGGAGTGATCAGTATCGCAATCAACACTCTGGTAACTGTGTGTGATCATAATGCTAGGAAGGCTAGAAAGTCTAGTGAGGATCAAACTGAGCTGATGCCAATGCTTTGATCTTGGTGTCTCCAGGAAACTCTGTGTTGAAGCTTCGCATTAAAGAACGTATTGTTGACACGAAGACCATAATAACAGCAAAACTCCAGCAAGCATTGACCATTTTCGTTCATCTTCCCAATGCCAAAACAGCCAAGACAAATGGGTCAAGAATTGTGATCAGCACCAACTCTAGCATTAAAGTCTCCGAGAATGAACAGTGGTTCTCTCTTGGGGATTTTTCTGACAGTAGCTGCCAGATCATCGTAGAATTTGTCTTTGACTTCTGCTGTGGACGACAGTGTTGGTGCATATGCACGAATGAGGGTGACTGGTCTCATTGATTAATGGAACTGCAGAGACAGGATTCTTTCACTCCCCATAGTAGGTAGAACAATGGATCTCACCAGAGTATTTCGGACCGCAAAGCCAACACCATGTTCCCTGGTCTCATTCAATGGTTTTCCCTGCCAGAAGAATGAGAAGTTTTTTCCTTTGACAGATCCCATGTCTGGCCATCTCATCTCTTGCAGGGCAACAATGTCCATTTGCAGTCTACTTAGTTTCATGTCAATGACAGCTGTCTTGTGCACGTCGTCTGTTTCCTGCATTTCCTTTACTTTACCTTATTAAGTACTTAAGGCAGCTAATAACAATGTTATACAGTTGTAAAAATAAGTATCAAAAGATGACAAAAGAAAAAAAGACATCCAAATACAGTTGGGGTGAGAGGAGAAGAGAAAGACAGGATAAGTCAGCAACTGAAGTGCTCCCTGAAAGAAGTTTTTTGATTCTCTCCATAAAATAAAGAAGACCTCTATGCTTGAAGAAAACTAATTCTGATCATGTGGAAAGGCCCTTAGTTTTACAGTGGTGCCCTGCTTAACGACGATAATGCGTTCCAGCAAAATCGCTCTTAAGCGAAATCATTGTCAAGCGAAAAAAAATCCCCACTGAAATGCACTGAAAACTGGTCAATGTGTTCCAATGGGGGAAATACCTCATAGTCCAGCGAAGATTGACCATAACCGCCAATCAGCTTTTCTAAATCACTCTAATGCGAAGCTTCTGTCTGGAAAGCAGCCATTTTGAGAAGGGAGGGAAGCCATTTTGCGGAGGGAAGCCATTTTGCGGAACCAGAAAGCAGCCATTTTGAGAAGGGAGGGAAGCCATTTTGCGGAGTTGGAAAAAACAGGCTCCTAATCAAAGTAAAGCGGATTTGACCCATTGGAACCATTGTGTTGCGATCGCTAAAATGTCATCATCAAGCAATTTCGACGTCATGTAGGGCACCTCTGTACTAGATCTGATTGATGTAGTAAGAAATTCCACAGAACAAGTTAAGGGTCAGTAAGGGTAGAGTTCGTAAGAACAACTGCTACTGCAACCTGTTAGTATACAATGAATAAAATAAAATGATCAAATTATCTGCCTGCTGAATTAGTTATTCATTCTGTTCAACAAAATTCATCTTCTTTCTTTCAGACAAAGGATTTTGGGACTATTTCAGCCAAAGTGCTCCTTGCTCAGTTACTGTAGACACAGAACTACTTACACTTTTCAAAGAGACTATGTAGATACAAATTAAACCTGTCAAAAACAAAGGGAATATACAGAAAACCAATTTTAGCTTAGGCTTTGAAAACTTCATTCTGTTTTGCTAGAAGAATCAGATGCACCTGTTCCTTAGCACTGACAGTTGAACATATAATACCTTGAACAACATACTAGAAACACATCACCTTTATGCTTAAAGCAATATAGAAAAATGTAAGAGAGTGCCTAAATGAGATTTAAGAAATATGGCCTTGATAATGGGTTAGAAGCGCTGTGCTGTTCTTGCTTCATTTATTCTAAATTAAGTGTGAGCCAAAACTTAAACAATCTGGACAATTAAGGATGAACAGAGCTTTGTGATGTTCCAAATACACAAATGTTGAAAAAAGATAGAAAGCCATTATTATAAAGCTTTTCTGTATATGCCGTATGCCATGCTAATACAAAATACAAAAACAAAGCATTGTTCAAGTTGAACAAAGCCGTTGCTCAGTACATTTGTATTTAAAACATTGTACAATAAACAAAGTGAACTTTTAGGGCATTAAAAAGATCTTTTTTTTTCCTGCAAGTCAATTGCAGGAAGTAGAGAAATTATTATAGTCTGTGATCCTTTTTTCCTGCAAGTCAATTGGAAAGGCAGGAAGTAGAGAAATTATTATAGTCTGTTGAGACAGTAGCATCACAGTTCTTTATTTAATTTACAATAAAACTGTGACCTGCTTGGTTGGGGAAGATTATATAGCTCACCAGAGTGCAAGGAATATACCGTAGTTTGGACTGAGGACAATTTTCCAGAAGGTTTTGAAATAAAATGGAAACAGTGATTTAAAGTAAATGAAACATTCCACAGGCTTGAATACAGCGAGTTCAGCTTTTCAAAAAAGCCCAGGCATTTTTTTTACTACTGTTGGTGTTCACACCAAGCCACCCACCTACACAATCCTACGTGGTACAGGCTGCCAGCTACCTCACACCTGGCAACCCATAAGCCTTACAGAGTGTGCAACTCCAGACAACTGGGTAACTTCCAGGCTAGGTTTATCACTCAAAACAGGCAGTTACATGAGACATGACAAATGATAGGTCTGATCAAGTGCAAAACATATCCATATACACCACTGGCACTGATTTTATAACTCAAGATTGCCCTGAAAGAAACTTCATTTTAGACTATAATGCAGTACTTCTGTGATGCTTCTAAGCCTTCTTTCGTAGGTGCCACTCACCTATTCTGCTCCTCTAATTTAGCCAATAACTCCAGTTCATCAGGACTCAGCTCCGCTGGAGACGATGGAGATAATGCTGGAGTGGAAAGTGTGGTAGAGGAGGATGTAGTGTGTAACGAGGCAGATGGACTTGCCACCTGACTGGCCATTTGACTGACGGTGTTCTTCACCCATGAGAGAGTAGAACTCAGTTTCCCTGCAACCTTGTCTGTCGCCACCTGAGGAAGGAAATGAACCACATTACAGTAGCTGAACGCAATAGGAAAATGATACTTTTTTTTAGACTATTAAAAAAACCCACAAACATTAGTTAGCTTTCAAATCCATACAGATCTTCACCAGGCTGGGTACCACCTTTCTTTTTTCCTTTGGTCAAGCACATTGCTGCCATTTAACAGCACCCTGGTTAGAACAGCAAGCACTATCACAGGTGATTAGGTAGAAATCTGTATTATATCAGATAAATTTTATTTTTGATTTCGATGAGGTCCCCCCGTGTTTGTTTCCGTCTGTCTTTTGTGACCACTGCCACAATTTACTCTACTTTTGCTTTGAAGTTGCTTAATCACACAGAAGACAAGTTAATTTTTCTCAGATTTCCTGATGCTACACTGTGTTGCGCAAATATACACAACTGAAACATTAGAAGAGTTCGCAAGTTATGGAAAGTCACCTTTTAAATCTGCGGATATATCAACTTTGCTAATGATATCAACAAAACTTACTAATCCCATAGTAAATTTTTGCCAAGCAGGTTGCTCACATATACCTATTAGACATTTGTAGCATCACCACTTGAACAAGAGGTCCAGTCCTAGGCTTAAATCCAGCTGTGAACCTCAACTGAAGCAAATGCACTAATCTTGTAATCTTATAAAAAGCACCGACCTACCAAGTTTCCATTAGATTTAATAGTCTTTACTCTATTATGAACTATTGGATTTAGCTTGTGTGTTTATGAAAACTTCTCTTCATGTTTGGATAATTTACTTGCTGGAAGTGTGTCCATAAGTGCCCATTTAATGAGTAAGACATACACATTATCAGAAAGAAGTGCTAATATTTTAATTAAGACTCCAATGGAATTTCAATGTACAGTGGTGCCTCGCATAGCAACGTTAATCCATGCAGCAAAAATAGCTGCTAAGCGATTTCATCGCTATGCAATTTTAAAAAGCCCATAGAAATGCATTAAAACCTGTTTAATGCATTCCTATGGGCAAAAAACTGACCTTAAAGCGAAGATCCTCCATACGGCAGCCATTTTCGCTGCCTCTTAAGCAAGGAATCCTTGCGAAAACACAACAGGCAGCCATTTTATTTACCCGGTGGCCATTAGGAACTGCCGCCCAGCTGTTAGAAAATCATCGCTTTGCGATGATCGGTAAGTGAAACAGGGAACCGATTATTGCAAAGCGAAAAAAAACATTTAAAACATTGCAATGCAATCACTTTTGCAATCGCAGTTAATCGCTATGTGGTTTGTCACTAAACGGAGCGCCCGTTAAGCGAGGCACCACTGTATGCTGAAGTGGACAGTAAATTCAGAGAGACACTTTTAAAAGGTGGGAAAACTAAAGGACCGCCTAATAAATCAAATAAATAATATAATATCTAGATAAATGCTAAATACAGAGCTCAAAGGGCTTTGGGCGGTCTGCAGAAAATTATGAATGCTTTGTTCTCTGTTTTTGCTGTGCTTTGGGGTGAGTTGTGCTCGTCCTCTGCCCTTGCATCTGTTAACCTCTGGATTCAATCCTTGCCTCAGTGACTAACTTTAAAAGACATTTTAAAAGAAAAACAGGAGGAAAGGGGGCTCTAAGCACATCCCATTTAATTTTAAGGAGAAGCAGCTGAATGACTAAGGATAAGCAAACAGTAAACAGCAAAGAATTCTGTGACACCTTTAAGACTAACTGATTTGTTACAGCATGGGCTTTCATAGATTAGAATCCTCTTGAATAGATGCACGAAGCATGTTGTTTGGCAGGAACTGATTCAACATAGCTGTCCCTTTGAATATTGTTACAGTGGAAGGAGCAATAAGTAGGAATCTCTCATTTCCTCTACTCCTTCAATAGAAGTTAGACAAGAGCAAGGGCAACACACACCAGGGTTCTATTTGCATCCACCACCCACATATGGTGTCCCCTCTACAAGCTGCAACTCTTACTATTATCATCATGAAAAAGAGGGTGGAAAATAAAACAGCCAACATTATAATGCCATTGAACAAAACAATGGCAAGATGGATAGGCATTTATTTATTTATTTATTTGATTTATTGATGGGTATTTACCCTTGCTAGGTGCAATACTGTACCTTCGAACTTAGCACAGGGCAGATATATGGGCTTTACCCACAGAACTGAGAGTCTGCCCTCGTGGTTAGGGAGTGGTTGAATCCTTGCACCATATGTTGTTCTATTGTATCTTGGATATCTGCCTGTCTTATCTGAGCACTTTCCTTTCCTCCCATTCTGGATGGGACCACCTGAGAAAAATAGTGGCACTATTAAGGAACTTACCCTGATAATAGCCAGATACTGTACATCTACTACATCATGCAGAGGCAATGCAGTGTGCTGTTTAGCCAGATACTGTACATCTACTCCATCATGCAGAGGCAATGCAGTGTGCTGTTGCAGAATGCCGAGCCCTAAATATGAATTTGGCTGTTCCCTGCCACATATCAGCTGTTGAATGTTTTATCTGCATTTTAGTGTGTTTTAATTTTGTACAATATGGCAAAGGTTTTCGTCTGTCTGTCTGTCTAAACAATGGTAAGGCCGCACCTGGAGTATAAAGGTTTTGTCTGTCTATCTGTCTGTCTGTCTACACAATGGTAAGGCCGCATTTGGAGTATTGCATATAGTTCTGGTCATCACACCTCAAAAAAGACATAGTGGAACTGGAAAAGGTGCAGAAGAGCGCGACTAAAATGATGACTGGGCTGGGGCACCTCTCTTATGAGGAAAGGCTATAGTGTCTGGGGCTCTTTAGTTTAGAGAAAAGGCGCCTGAGGGAGGACATGATTGAGATGTGTAACATTATGCAGGAGATGGATAAAGTAGATAGAAGGAAGCTCTTTTCCCTCTCATGCAATACTAGAACCAAGGGACATCCACTCAAATTGAGTGTTGGGAGAATGAGAACAGATAAAAGAAAATATTTCTTTACCCATAGTGTTGTTAGTCTGTGGAACTTCTTGCTACAGGATATAGTGATGGCATCTGGCCTAGATACCTTTAAAAGAAATCTAAAAGATTCCTGGAGGAAAAGTCTATCACAGGTTACAAGCCATGATCAGGATGTATAATTTACCTTAACAGGAAGGTACCTCCAAATGCCATTACCTTAACAGGAACGTACCTCCAAATGCCAGATGCAGGGGAGGGGTATCAGGAGACAGGTGTCTCGTTGTCTCCTATGCTCCCAGAGGCATCTGATGGGGCCACTGTGAGATACAGGAAGTTGGACTAGATGGGCCCTTGGCCTGATCCAGCAGGGCTCTTCTTGTGTTCTTACCTCTTTCCTTCCTTTTTCTTCCCATGTCTGGGCACCATGGCATTGTGCTGTTGTAGCGCCATCTAGAAAAAGCACAAGTAGGTGCTCTTCTACCTGTGTTCTGCCATTCTTAAATTTCCCTTATCTTTGATTTCACAGAAGAATACCAGTCCAGAATGGAATGTAATATCATCTTTGCCAGGGGGATTGATATACAGGATGCTAGTCCTTCTTGGTGGTTCTTCATGAGTCAAGAGATTCTGAGGGTTTTTTGGATACAACGGAGGTAACCAAGAGTAAGAAAGTAATTAGCTTGTGCAAACATTCACTCTTAGAAACTCTTTTCTATATGCCAGTGAAATTCAACAATACTGGAAGCTTGTACAATGGCCACTCAAAGAAGATGATGTGAATATGTATATATAATACAGTATGTATAATTTTAATCTAGAGCAAAGGACTTTGAAAAAAATTACAACAAAAGTTCATTCTTCCTCTAGCAGCAAGTCATCAGGAAGCTTTGGGAAATCATTTGATATGATGAGCCCTGATTTGTCCAGTTTCTATGAACTGTTAAAGCTGTAATTTCACATGCTTTTAAAGTGTCCACTGAATTGTTAAATATGGTCACTACATACTCAGGAATGTCAGTACTTCTAATTCTCAGATAACATAATCTTCATGCTTAATTGGAGCAAAAAAACTCCATTATCAAGGTAGGACTAGCTATGGTTGGCCTCTCAAACCCTCCCCTCAGGTTCTAAGTAGAAACATCGAAATTTAAAATAGGAATATAAAATCCATGTCCCCTTGGGAGATAGCATAGACACATTTGTTTAAAGGTTAAATTAGACCCATCAAGAGTCATGTTACTTTATTCGAATACAAAGCAGAGAGGTAATTTTTACAACGAAAGGGAACACAGGTCTGATGTTACCTGGTCATAAGGAAAAAATGCAGCACCCCCCTAAAGAAAGCACTTGTCTGTCTATTACTGTAACTCATATTGCAATGAAATACCTCCATGCACAGCTGTGAAAGATCTGACCAGGTAATTTCTGTGCCGGCTTATTCTCCTCTCCAGATGCTAACTGCAGATGTGTAACTTCAAGGTGTCTGCTCTCCTTTTGCATGCCTTCTGCAGGTTAGAGCAAGCTTGGATTGGACTACACTTCAAATAGGATATATTCAGACAAAAGACTAATCTTTATAATATATGGCCACCCCAAAGATAGCTGAATCTTCCCCCATTCCTTTGATTGAAGCAAATCTTTCCTTGTTATGAGACCAAACTGAAATAAAAAATTTCTTCGACAACAGAGGGCAGGAAATAAATGCTGTGACTACACTGCCAGGCAAGCTGAATTACTCTAATTCAGCATTGCTGTGATTTGATTTGCAGCCTGTATTATGGAAGAATTTGAAGTCAATGATTACACTGGGACTGTGGACTGATTCAGGAGTTCAGTGTTCAGACTTGCTGCGATTTGATTCGCAGCCTATATTATGGAAGAATTTGCAGTCAATGATTACACTGGGGCTATGGACTGATTCAGGAGTTCAGTGTTCAGACTTCATGTGATGCACTTTGCATTTCAGTCCACAGCCCCCTACTTCTTTCCTTTCTTCCTCTGGTCCCACCTCTGCAGATCCTTTTATGGTTTGCTGTCAAACTGCTCAGTTTTGAAAGTACAGTGTTCCTGAAAAGATGG